GGCCAAGAAAAGATTGTGACTTCCTAGGTACCAGAAGCAGATGTGAGTCAATTAATTCAGCTTTAAAAATAACTAAAAAATTGAAAAAGAAAACCAGCTCTCTTTGTACAAGTTGGTAGTAAAGTATACGACACTTCCCTGTGATTGCTGTTTGTAATGATCTGTCAACATGCACCCACAGAAAGTTAATAGGGTCTTACTCAGAATCGAAAAATTTGAAATAAAATATTTTTCTTTTGATGTACTAAAAACAGATATAAAATTGTTTGATCTCTGCTGATGTGTTTATTCAATGATAAGATATAGGGACGGGATTATTTGTCCGGAAATGTAATACAATTTCTGAAGGTCGTATTTCACAGGGTTAAGTGATTGTTAATCCGATATGCTGACGTAAAGTGTCTTCTTATAAAGTTTTTATGGAACAGATATGTAGTTATGTGCACTTGTATAAAATTCACCTGCTGATAAATCTGATAACTCTGATACCCTATATATCAGTAAAGTTTCCTGGTTACTTGTAAATGTCTTGAGTACCATGAAGCCAAGGAGTCGACACACTCTGGATAATGTAATTGGTTGATGGGTTCTTGGCCTTATTGGGGCAGCTACTAGTTGCCATTGGTACCTGCCATAGGTCAATGGTTTTTGTCTGGGTACTCCCGAGTTTCCTCCACCACCAAAACCTGACTCATTCTTAAATAACCATAGCTGTTAATAGGACGTAAAACACAAACAAACCAAACCAAACTCTTCATGTGTTTCTCACTAAGTCCCTAGATCTGTCTCTTATTTCTCTATCTTAGTCTTTGAAAACATTTGAGGTCCCTTTTGACAATTTTCTTTTAAACTTTGATTGTCAGATGAAGGTTGTAATAGAGTTTGCAGATAAAACATGTTTTTCGACTGAAGTAAGTTCAGAGATCAAAGTATAGCCATCTAATCATTGTTAATTCAATCAATTAACTCATTCACCCCTGAAGACACATTTGAACTCTTCCAATTCAAAAGTTGGAATAGTTCATTATGAAATTTCAGGGGTGAATGAGTTAAGGTGCTTAATTTTCTTATGTAGGTTGAATATGATTTAAAGTCAAGGTTGCATGGTTACAGCAGAAAGCCTGTAAGGTTTCAGTTGGGCGTCCGAAATCGGCAGGTTTTGTTTGATTGAATTCTCATATGGGTGACACAATGTGACAATGAAGCAATGTCGACTTTTTTACGAGTATCCTGTCAGTATATCTACAAGTTAACTAATATTGATAGCTTTTTACTTATTTAAAATTAAACAATTAATCCTCACACCATTAGATAAAAGTGCCTGAATTTTTCAGCCTCAAATAGATTTTGTACTTAGGTGTTGCCCTGAATTTATTAATCTTTACACTTTTTGTGTTACTGGTTTGCTTGTGTTCTGTAACAATTTCAGGTTATGACAAGTTTGATGTTGTTGTTAGTTATTTGCTAAAATTTGAGCCACCATCACTTCAGTGACATGCCTCGTCAACCATCATACTGGTGAACTTTTTGAAATTTCCATTTTAATTAATTTACGTGTGGTCAGAATTAAAAACAGAAATAAAATGTGTGTTCATGCACCCAAGGGATAAAATAACACTTTTAAATGGCATCTTTTGAGCTTTCCTTTCAGTGGAAATCATCAGATCTTGGGAATAATTAAGAAAATTCACTGGTTGAAAATGCTCAATTTTAGGGTCAAAAATCGGGAGTCTCCCTCCAATATAGGGAGAGTTGTCAAGTACAGGATGAACAAACAAAACTGAAGAAAAACAACAATATTACCATGGTCCAATAGTTTTCACATTTTTTAAATTGTCTCGAGACCATTCCATTTTAATGAAATATAAATATAAAATTCTAATCTGGAGAGTCAATGTTGGAAGTGTAAGCATCTAGCTGTTCTTTTTCTTTAAAAAATAAAATTACAAAATTGAAATGAGCCTTGACTTTATGGGTAAAAGAGTCGTTTAAATTTCTTAAGGATAACAATTTTTTTGTGTCATTTGTTGCTTGGCAATGCTAGAGAAAGATATTATGATTCACAGTCCATGAGAAAATGTGTATTGTCCAGAGCGGTGTCAGTAAAAGAAATGATTTAAACATAAAATTCTGATGTTTATGTGAAAAACAGGCCTCGGTTACTTAGACAGAAGTGATTCTCGCATGTTACAGTTGAATACAGGTCCGTGCCCGACGATTTACCCGACACTGGGTTATTTAAGTTCGTCGATTCAAACCTTGTCCATCAAAATTCACACTTGAGTGACTCTTTTATGTGTCGAACAAATGTCAGCCACAGTATTGAAATGTAAACAAAGCCAAGCTATTTACTGTATACAACATATTTTATCATTATTGTGTGTTATAAACACAAAATGAGAAAAACCCAGCAAATGTTTGTCTTGTGATACGCCTACTTCATTTTGTGAGAGAATTGTTGAAATCTGCACTTGTCTTATGACGACGATGATTTAAAGTGCCAAAATTTCATAAAATTGTGGTGTTATGATGTGCTTATAATTTTCGTGAGAAAAATGTTGATGTGTGCACTTGTCTTATCTGTTGACAATGGTTAACTCTTCACCCCTAAATATCTAAACTGGTCTTGCCCAAACTTTGATTTGGTAAGGTTCAAATATAACTTAAGGGGTGAATGGGTTAAAATGCCAAAATTTCATCAAATTGTGGTCTTCGACATGATGCACTTATAACCTCTACTGAGAAATGTTTTAAAGTGTGCACTGCATGGTAATTCATCAAAATGGAGTCTTAAATGCGACAATAATAATTTGTGAGAAAAAATTGAAGTGTGCACTGGTCTTATAACGACATTACAGTTAACGTGCCAAAATTTTAAATCATGGTAAGAGCCTGTTATGCATGCAGTTTGTATTTTGTTTGTTTGTATTAGGGAATTTAACACTGAGCATGAATAATTCATGTAGTGTTCTATTCAGCCTTGCCTAAAATTCAGTCAATTAAATATCAGAAAAAAATTAAGAAGCATATATAGTATGTTATACTGTATATTGGAAAATGTTAACATATTTAACTCAAAAATTGATGTTTTCAAAATTAAGAGGTCTAATTATTTTGATGGAATGTCAAATATATTATCAATTTTTCTATTACCTTCAACTTTTCGTTAGTTTTTGTGCTTTTGTCACAAGAAAATTAATGAACTTCAGTAGGTGCAATGTTTGTTTATGTAGAAGCTTAAAACGGGGCATGAATAATTCATATGGCATGATTTTTTTTATGTAAGGTACAGCTTTCGTTCAAGGTTCTGAATGATCAAAAAATTAAATTTATATCACATAAACTGTCATATTCAGCAAAGAAAATAACTGAAGTGTGTCAATAATAGATAACAGTAGGAAATATGTCGACAGAATAATTTTATATATGCAAAATAGATAAATGTTTAGGATTTTAATAATAATAGTGTATTAAATTTACAACCGAAAAAAAGGCGTTCGTACAGGTAATGAATATATTTCCGTAACAATTTCTACTTGACATTAAAATTTCAAATGATAAGATTTATGATGATAGATTATGATGCATTATGGGAAATTGTGCCTTACAATCTTTTTAATTGCCAGTCTATACGTAGACTTCTGCACTTAAACTTTCGTTTGGCGTGATATTCAGCATACTTTTCAATAAATTATCTACCTCAAACTGCAGTATAAGCACCGATACTGACACTCATAAGTATATATACACCAACGATGTACCATATGTTCCTCCCACCTCTGTATTTGTGACAAACACATGACCTTTGTCAACTATCTGGGATTACTCTACCCCACATAAGTGCACCTACAGGTAACCGCCAGTTTTGGAACTTCATGTACATGTTTTAACTCATTCACCCCTGAAGACACATTTGAACTCTTCCAATTCAAATGGTGGAATAGTTCATTATGAAACTTCAGGGGTGAATGAGTTAAAACCCTGACTTAAAGAAGTACCGTATATACCAGGATTTTTTTCGCCCTTAGACGGTAAATCCATTTTTGCCCTATATTAAATTACACTTTAATTATTTCAATATGGGACTCTCATATTTTAAATATTTTGAATGAGGGCATCGGCATATTTTCAGTAAAATATGTTAGTTTACTTGCATGTATATAACAAAAGAATGGGCTTATTACCAGGCATGGGCGTATTATTGGTCAAATAGAAGATTACATATATAGAGAAAACAATTTGGTTGGCTTCAATTTATACCAAGCTTGGGCTATCTTTTGGTCAAATACGGTAGTGTTTTATACATAACATACAAAGTGGGACACATTTTACTTTACACTTTACTTACTGACATTATCTAGATAAGTATGAGATGTGTTTAATGTTGACTGATCACCTACCCTTAGTTATGTGATGACATCTAAATCACTTCTTTATCTTATATCTAGGGAATAATGTAACCCGTTCTATTGATCAATGACCTTGACCCTGTTAATTTTTGACCTTGGCCTTATACATAGGTATGTTACCATCTGGATTATTCAGCATTCTGTGCATGGCAATATAATCTTCCACTACCTGAGGATGTGACAGAGAAATCACCTACCCCAGAGGCTCTGTCGAGGGTTAGACAAAACAATCTCCCTGATGGTTGGATATTTCTCTGTTGTACCCTCAAGATAGGGGATGATTATTTTTCTCTCATCCTCTTATTTCAGTCACAACTCCACCAACAGTAGTCTGTTTGTAAACAAAAACACATGTGGGGTATGAATATCGCCATTCCCTTTTGAAGACGTCACAATTACTGGTGACACATTTTAATGATGTCACAATTGAACATGTGGTAATCTGCACGAGGCTACCTCCCCCCTATAGCGGGTGACAAGCTTATCTTTCCCGGCTGGAATGGGAGACACACCTGTGAAGGGTGGGAGAAAACTTGACCTTGCCTTGTGACCTAGGTTAAATGTTTAACCTTGACCTTTTCTGTCCTTCAGGTATGCCATCATCCTCAATGTACAGAACCCAATGGTAACCAGCCTCTTCTGCTGTGTAAAGAATGTGACCGCACCATTCATGGAAACTACCAGTTCAGTGGACATCTTGTTCTGGATGCCCCGAAGAAAAAGCCAGGTATTACTATTTGGTTTTTTTTGTCTGTATACGTAAGTTTGGTACATTATTATACTGGACTGTGAGTCCGTGAAAGAGATTGTGTAAAGTTTGTTCTATAAATAAAAAGATATACAACTTTGGATAAAGAGCCCTATTTAGCTACATTTGTAGAATAAGTCAATCTACAACACTTTACAGGAAATAAAATCAATATTATTGATCAGTCAATAAAAGGTTTGATGGTTTCTCAAGGTCTGTCTTATCAAGTGGTTACTACTGGCCCTCTGCCACCTGGCCAATACCTGCACATGTAGGCGTGTGTGTTGGGAGAAGTAGTTTTTTGTGGCATGACTGTGCTTCAAACAACATTGTTTTCCATATTGCCCACTTAAATGAGGTAGCACAAACACTGACACCCACCCCTTTCGTTTTATACTCAACCTGTAGTGGATAGGGGTGCTAGATTGTTCACCACAAACACTTGCATCTGTAGTGGGTGGGGGTGCTAGAGTGTTCACCACAAACACTGGCACCTGTAGTGGATGGGGGTGCTAGAGTGTTCACCACAACCACCGGCATCTGTAGTGGGTGGGGATGCTAGATTGTTCACCACAAACACTGGCATCTGTAGTGGATGGGGGTGCTAGAGTGTTCCCCACAAACACCGGCATCTGTAGTGGGTGGGGATGCTAGATTGTTCACCACAAACACTGGCATCTGTAGTGGGTGGGGGTGCTAGATTGTTCACGACAAACACTGGCATCTGTAGTGGTTGGGGGTGCTAGATTGTTCACCACAAACACTGGCATCTGTAGTGGATGGGGGTGCTAGAGTGTTCACCACAAACACCGGCATCTGTAGTGGGTGGGGATGCTAGATTGTTCACCACAAACACTGGCATCTGTAGTGGGTGGGGGTGCTAGATTGTTAACCACAAACACTGGCATCTGTAGTGGGTGGGTGTGCTAGATTGTTCACCACAAACACTGGCATCTGGTGTGGGTGGGGGTGCTAGATTGTTCACCACAAACACTGGCATCTGCAGTGGGTGGGGGTGCTAGATTGTTCACCACACACACTGGCATCTGTAGTGGGTGGGGGTGCTAGAGTGTTCACCACAAACACCGGCATTTGTAGTGGGTGGGGATGCTAGATTGTTCACCACAAACACTGGCATCTGCAGTGGGTGGGGGTGCTAGATTGTTCACCACACACACTGGCATCTGTAGTGGGTGGGGGTGCTATATTGTTCACCACAAACACTGGCATCTGTAGTGGTTGGGGGTGCTAGATTGTTCACCACAAACACTGGCATCTGGTGTGGGTGGGGGTGCTAGATTGTTCACCACAAACCCTGGCATCTGTAGTGGATGGGGTTGCTAGAGTGTTCACCACAAACACCGGCATCTGTAGTGGGGGGGGGTGCTAGATTGTTCACCACAAACACTGGCATCTGCAGTGGGTGGGGGTGCTAGATTGTTCACCACAAACACTGGCATCTGGTGTGGGTGGGGGTGCTAGATTGTTCACCACAAACACTGGCATCTGTAGTGGGTGGGGGTGCTATATTGTTCACCACAAACACTGGCATCTGTAGTGGGGCGTTGTGCTAGATTGTTCACCACAAACACTGACATCTTTAGAGGGTGGGGGTGCTAGAGTGTTCACCACAAACACCGGCATCTGTAGTGGATGGGGTGCTAGAGTGTTCACCACAAACACTGGCTAATGTAGAGGGTGGGGGTGCTAGATTGTTCACCACAAACACTGGCAAATGTAGAGGGTGGGGTGCTAGAGTGTTCACCACAAACACTGGCATCTGTAGTGGGTGGGGGTGCTTGAGTGTTCACCACAAACACCGGCATCTGTAGTGGATGGGGTGCTAGAGTGTTCACCACAAACACTGGCATCTGTAGTAGGGTGGGGTGCTAGATTGTTCACCACAAATACTGGCATCTTTAGTGGGTGGGGGTGCTAGAGTGTTCACCACAAACACTGGGATCTGTAGTGGGTTGGGGTGCTAGAGTGTTCACCACAAACACTGGCATCTGTAGTGGTTAGGGATGCTAGAGTGTTCACCACAAACACTGGCATCTGTAGTGGGTTGGGGTGCTAGAGTGTTCACCACAAACACTTGCATCTGTAGTAGGGCGGGGTGCTAGATTGTTCACCACAAACACTGACATCTTTAGAGGGTGGGGGTGCTAGAGTGTTCACCTCAAACACTGGCATCTGTAGTGGGTGGGGGTACTAGAGTGTTCACCACAAACACTGGCTAATGTAGAGGGTGGGGGTGCTAGATTGATTGTTATGTAGAGGGTTGGGGTGCTAGAGTGTTCACCACAAACACCGGCATCTGTAGTGGGTTTGGGTACTAGAGTGTCCACCACTTGTCCAAGCAAGTGTCATTGGCCAGATGCGAACCTACTGTGTTAGAAGACAATAGATTTCTTGTCTCTACTTAACCTTACAACTGTAAAACGAATACATTTTTTCACTACTTTCCAACCTGTATTTAGAAACTACCATCTAAAAGTTTCATAAATTGGTCTTTCATTGAAGGTAGTCCCTTTATACAGGTTCATTACGCATAAATTAATTGCAATGGACAGTTTTAAAAACGTGATCCTTTACACAGGTAGTCTATTAGTAGAGGTGGCCTCTTGATGAGTTTGGCTCTGAATGACTTGAATTGATTGATGGATTGTAAAACAAGACATTAACTCATAAACTCAAATATTCTTTTGATGAAGTTTGACTGAAATGTACTTAAAAATTGTGTGCTAAATAAATCAACTTTACGAGTGTTTTTACCGTATCCTAGGTCTGGGTATCATGCCACGTGGGATCTCGGCTCCGACCCTGCCGCACTTCGATGGTAACCACAGCGACTCGGAAGCCACAGAATGTCATCCTGCAGGGGAGGAGGACATGGAGGAGAATACAGGCAATGGCGGGGAGGGTGGAGACACGGTGGATGGCATCTACATGAAGAAACAAGAGTAGGAATCACATCAACAATTTGTTGTATATATTGGCATCTCATTAGCCCAGCCAACTCTATTAAGTGGCTAGATTTTTTCGCTATCTTACTCCTAAAATGGAGAACGATTATATTTCTCCCACATTGAATTTAGTTAGATATCCACACCTCCGGTCAGGGAAGGATATCACTGTCTTATCCTAGGGTAAAGATGGGGGGGTACTCCCCAGTCATAACAATTGTATGACATCACATCAACAATGCAATGACGTCACCTCTACAATAGCAGATCAAGGAAGATAACCTCTGATCTACTTGAAATTATGAAATAAACTTTTGTATTTCGTTAAATTACCACTTGTATTTGATGTGAGAGAAAAAATAATTAAGAAGTAAGACAGAAACTTCCCAACCCCTTGGAGTGAGAGTCTCTAAATGTCTGGACCTCAGAAAAGCCTCAGGTTAGACATTTAAGAATCTCACCCCTTAGTTGGGTTGAAATTGTTCGGTTTTATGCCCAAGGTGGGGAAGATCGCACAGGAGTCATAGATTCTATTACTCCCAAATAACATATACAGTCAAGACTGCCTCAATAGTCACATATAAGACAGGCTTGACCATTCCTCTGAAGTTAAATAGAGGCTTCCCAATGACCGGTGGTTAGTTGTACATCATTTAGATGTCACCTTTACGGTTGTTAGGTGGCTCAGATGAGAGCCCTCTTGCCCTTCACGAAGAGGGCTGGGGTTTGGTTCCCCAGTCAAATGTGAAGAGGTGTTGTGTCATATTTACCTTGTACAAATTACAACCTTCTTCATTGATTTCATGGTAGTTCTGTAGATCTCCACAAATACTGGTTTTGGATGCTTAGAAGGTTGCTTTTTATTCTGAAATTAGTTTATAACTTCAATATGAACTGGTTCCTGTAAATCATGGTCTTAATTCACATCTTCAACCAACAGGTTCGGGACTTTGCCCACTGCCGCGGAGATGAAGCTGAAACGAAAGAAAGCCATGAAATTAAAAAGACGCCATACAGATGTAAGAAGGAAATATATTTATTTTATATGATGTTTTTCAGACTATGAGAAATCAGTAAATTCTGTAATGTTCTAAACGTGTTCTGGTCAACACATTCTGTTTATGTGTAGCAAATCTCCGCTGGGCCTAGTGGAGCATCAATGGAGGTCCTGGGTTCAAAATCATACCTAGCATAGTGTATTTCCCTTAAATCCTGTTACATATATCTATAATATATTGTGAAATTGGCATATAGCTTGTTTGGTGCATGTCCCTTTAAAGTAATATTGTCATTAATTTAGTTTTGACAAAAGAATATATTAGCATACAATTTCTGTTTGAAAAGCATGTTCTCAACTAAATTTAAAAGGATTTGGTAGAATATTTGTTTGTTTAGAAAAATTTGAATAGATATTTGGTACTTTCGAGATGCATTCTAGTTACACCCTTGTAAAAGCATGCTCCTGAATCATGATAGAATATATTTTTTACTGTTGATTAAAAAGTTTGAGACTTGTGAGGTACAGTCTAGTTGTATCTGTGAAAGCATGTTCCTGGATGTGTGGTAGATTTATCAATTTATGTAGATAGATTGAATATTGATAAATATTTGTGAGATTTATTGGTTGAAATTATATATCCCTACGACTGCCATTACAAATATGTATGCAGTATGTGTGAAAAATGGGTTAAAGAGAGCCACTGTTGGGTGAAAATCATAACATATCTGTAAGGTGCAAAAATGCGGAGCAGATTCTTTGAATTTTTTTAACTGTAATGAGTATTTATTTTGTCATTGATCATGAAACATTTATAAATGTTTTCTTTACTCTGTGTAATTAAAGTTGTTAAAACTATCCAAAATTAATCTTGGAAATTATTGTTGTAACAAATTATAATACAACTTAATAACATTATATTTTGATGACAAAGTTCACCAAAATCTATTATATAGAATTATTTAAGCATTGAAGTGATGATGTTCTTACCCCAGTTTTTGTCTCGCCGCCACAAAGTGGAAGCAGGACTAAAGTGTTACTTTTCGTGCGATGGCGGCATCAACATTAAGTTTTTGGGTTTAAATAAGTTTCACTGAAAGTATAAGTGTCAGACCAACCAAACTTGGACCATAGATGATGCATCTTAGGTAGTACATCTCAACCCCATCTTAGGTAGTACATCTCAGCCCCATCTTAGGTAGTACATCTCAGTCCCATCTTAGGTAGTACATCTCAACCCCATCTTAGGTAGTACATCTCAGCCCCATCTTGGGTAGTACATCTCAGCCCCATCGTAGGTAGTACATCTCAACCCCATCTTAGGTAGTACATCTCAGCCCCATCTT